AGAAGCTGACTGCAATGACCGCAATGGTGGTGAAGACAACAAATCCCATGATCCCACATTACTTCATTTTTTGTTATTGTTTGGATGTGAGAGACCCCCTAGCAGCAGAAATTACATATTGTATGTTTAAGAGAAAATACTTTTTTGGACCTGCATCATACAGTGTTTATATAGTAGTAATCCATCTCATGCAATTTCTGGATTTGTGGGACACCGTGGTCAAGTTGGCAAACTTCTGGTTACCCTTTCAAAATAAAACGTTGGTTCATGTTGTGAAACGGTCGCAGTTTTGTTAGGTAAAGGCACAAAAGCTACTTGGTTAGGATTAGGAAAAGATCGTAAGCTACGTTGAAGAAATTGTTTACTTTTGGTTTCACAGTGGTCTTCTCTGTTTGTTGGAGTCATCTACCCCACCACATCCATATGGGAACTGTGTTACTCTTGATATTTCATAACCCCTTGCATTACTTGATAACTTCTTAACCTTGTTAACATGGTTTTGGCAATGGGTTGAATCAGCCCAGCTAATGGATAATTCTGGTTTGCAGTTTTGTCCATCTTTTCCTATCAATAATAAAACCTAGCATCCATCACAGTACAGCAGGTCATTTGAACATGGAAGAAATCTGACCACTTGACCTTTCATCTCGTACAAACCAACATTAGGTCAAACTTACATACCACATTGGTCCATGACAAAGTCTTTTAAATCTATAACGGCCAGACTATCCTATAATAAGCCATGTTCATGTCTCAAGGGATCCAAGAGTGATCAAAACTGCTTCTGATTTTTTTCTAGAACCCCCATGAAACCCAAGTTGGCACATCTATATTTTATTTTGTTCGGGTCGTTGAAGCTTCACAGAGGGTCGCAAGGCCTTCTTGATCTTAACTCATCGTCCTTTACTAAAAAAATATATAGTTAGTATATGATTGTTAAACAATAAATACATAATATGATTATTAATATGTTATGATATTTAATATGAATAATCTAATATGAAAAATCCATAAAAGTTGTCACTTAGTCAATTTACTTAGTGATAGAAACCACTGCTCTAGTACCCTCAGGCTAAAATATCATCTTTGCACAAAGGTAATCTCATCATAAGCAGAGCATGTTCACATAACCAAACAAATAAAGCTAGCAAACATTTTTCATATACATCTTTTATTGTTGCACGCACTAATCTCTTCAAAACTTGCATGAGGAAATACAAGGTGAAAAGCCCCCGCATATTTAGTCAAAATGTCATGGCAGGCAGGGGCTTTTCATTCAATGTGTAAACATCAGCAAGCAATCCTTGAGATTTGTAAGCTATACTTTAACAATGAAGCATACAAACATGAAATGTAAAACAATGCTGTTTAAGGTCTGTTGAGTCTGAGGTCCAAAAAGTACAGAGCTCTTAGAAGCTGCTTTTCAAAGTAGTTGGAAATATCAAGGCTTTGTAAATAATGATAAACATTTGTTTATTAAAATCAGCAGACATTGGTGTTTGTATTTAAGAAAATCTTTTAGAAATGTCATGTATGTGGTCATGAAATTCATAATAGAGGGAACCACAAAGAAAAGTGCTTTAGAAAAAATACTGGCCTATAAATGCCCTGTTACATAGAAATTCATAGAATTGCTAAATGTTGGAAAATAAAGCCGGAATTTGATTGACATGAGTAGTTTCAATCTATACATTGTAAGTCAACATTCATGTATAGTGCTATTGTGTAAAGAATAAAATACTTGTATTTGGGGAAAACTTTTTCATTATTTGGAATATCCAAAGCACTTGTGAGATTTCTGACAATGAACGTCTGTTTTCCAAATAGTGCACTTTGTCCTGTAGTTTTGAGCACTATGAAAGAACTGCTCACAAATACCTGTGCTTATTGACTTGTCTTACTCTAGGTCATACAAAATAATGTGGAGCTAGTTCATGCAGACAACTCAAATGGTGTCCTGAAGTAGGGAATGACAAAAGTGAAAAATGAAATCTATCTATCAGCTATATTCGCTAATGCAGGCACAGGGAGAGCATGCAAACTCTGCACAGAGAGACCCCAGCCGGCCGGCAGGTTCTGACCCAGGACCTTCTTGCTGTGAGGCGACAGCACTAACCACTCACAGCCTGCTGAAAACTGAAATGTATTTTTATTCTTGCTAAAACATTGACATTCACTGTGTGAGTTGTGTGAGTTCTACATTTTTCAAGTCAAAGGTATGTAATTAATATATT